CTGTGCTTGGAGTGGTGCTTTTTATTTTGGTAGTGGTGTTGCAAATACGGGAAGCATTTGTGTCCCCGCCAAGCGTTCAGTTATGCCTGTTTTTGGTAATTTTTGTAATTTTTCAGTTAATGCCTGCAGGTTCCGGCTACAGATCTGCGTTTCATAAAACAAAGACATTGAGTCAACCAGTTATTTCAGTCCTGCATAAAGTCACTGGATGTAACTCGTACAACATGATCACTTTCTGAATTTCTACAACTCATCTTCTCTCTGAAGGTTAGTGGAGCACTGACAGGCCCAAATGTACCAGTTGTCACAGCATTTTCAATTAAACAACTTTAAAATTGATATTGTAACTCAGAAAAATTGCAACAACAGGTATACCTAAAGGAACTATCTCCCAAACTCAGTTCCGCACAATGATATATTAAGCAAACTTAGACAGAGAAACTGATATTCTTTTTAACCACTTCTTTTCAACTAAGCTCATTAACAGCAGTAAATAAACTGCAATCCTCTCCCTCACTCTGAAAAAAAAAAGCTTGGGCACGTTTACTTTTTATTACTCTTTACCTGATCAAAACTTCCACAGCTCTATTTACATCCCTCCACCCCGGCTCCCTAACGGCAAGGAAGGAGAACCCAAGCTGGGTCCTGTGCGGAAGCTGATCTGAAAGCATTAACGATCACGGTGCTGCCTCCCGCCACCCCCAAAGTTACGTTTCCATGAAGGATGCAGAGCAGGGAAACAGCAGCAGCTCGTGACACGGGGTCCCCAGAACATAGAGGTGCACTTACGCGCGCCGTTCTGTCCTCGTATCCTTCATCGGACATTAAGAAGTCACAGACTCCTCTGGTGGGAATACTGGTGTTTTCTGTAATCCATGTGTGCAGATAAACTTCTCCCAACACTCGTTTCATGTGTTCTCGTGTCAAGTGCATTTCTACTGCCTCAATTTGTGCCTGTATTTCAAGGAGTTTTTCTTCCATTGGTTCACGGCCTCCCATGTCACCCGACTGAGGAAGAGAATCATCCGCAGTGTCATCTACGTCCATAGCTTTGCCTGTGTCGCACAGATTCTGCTTGTTGGCTTGTTTAGAAGTTCCTTCATCCTGATCATCTTCAGTGCTGCCCATCCCCGGGGAGTCTGATATCAAGATTTTTGCATCCTCGTGTGAAGGTCTCCAGAGGACCTCTGAGGGAGCCTTCTGCATTGACTGGTACAGAATTCTGAGCAGAAATAGCTTAAACCGCCAGAAGTAAGTAGAACCACAGCTCTCAATCTTTTTATCCAGTGCTTCCTGCAAAAACTGAGGAATATGTTTATCCTTCAAAATTTTCCAGCGCACAAGATCTGTCAGGTCCACCTGCCGGAAAAGATTCTGAACGGATGATTCCAAGAGCTGGGCAGCTGCCTCCTCAAAAGTTTTAAGGGTTACAAACTGCACTTGATAGTTTTTGTTCACAGGGTGAAGACCGTTAGTCATGCCCTCTGTTGTGATAACTGCTAAGTATGCCCCACATGGGCTAACAGCTATTCCATGAGTCCTTACAGAGCCAAACACTTCAGAGAGCTTAATCAGCTGGTGCTCAAACTTTAAAGCAACGTCTGTGAATATAGGAATCAGCTGCCTTACCTTTCCATCGCTGGAGCAGGTATACACCGTGCCGTTCTGTTTGTCTGCAGTCATAGACACAATTGGCAGAGAATGAAGTCCTGTAACATGGGAATTGTGGACATTCAAACCTGCTTTGGATATCAACAGGAGACACCAAAACACGTAAGGTCCTCTTGCAGCCACCACTAAGCTACAGCTACATTTCTGGTACGGGTGGTAAAGAGGAATACATTTGATACTCTGCACTGGCAACTGGTCCATTTCTTGCCACAAAACTACAGGCTGCCTCAGCGTGAAGTAGCCTTTAACTGCCTTTAGATTGACAGGAAGGATTTTAACAGGTCCAAAAGCACTCCCTACAATGAGTCCACTCATTTTTCGGTTGTTATGTTCATATTCCCACCAAGACAAGACACTTGGAGAACTGATTCCAGACTCTATGGTATTGCAAGAAGTAATTGATTCCTTACCCAAAAACGGCAGCTGAAACTGCCAAACTGCAATGTTACCATTTTCAAAGAGCACTGCTAAGAGCACGCTGCCAACATCCCGGCATTCGTTGTTGTGTTTAACCTGCTGAGTGGTGCAGATGCCAGACCACTCCATGCGCACCGGCGTCTGCATGCTGTGTCGTCGCTGAAATTCCGCAAAGTCACCTAGTTCTGCCCGGGGAGTCTCCACCTTGGAAAGTCTGTAACTGGCTTCATACAAACGCTCCCCGTAAACTTCTGTCAGGTCAACCAAGTGCACCCACTGCAGTCTGTTGAGGTTGGCGTGGATGGTTAATCGATTGTCCATGGTTAAAGCTGCAAGCAGGCATCTTCCGTTAGCGTCGCAGCCCAAGGGCGACCAGCTGGAATACTTGAATCCTCGCATGGGTGGCAGGGACTTTCCTTCAGGATTAAATACTCTGTCTAACATAAAAGCTTGACTAACTGTTGGATCCACAGAATTTGCAAACTTCTCCTTACATTCTGCTACTTCCTTTTTTGGACCAACCTGAAAGACAACAAAAAAAGGAGAACTCTTAAATAAGCTGCAGCATGTTATCTGAGGAAGACTCTCCTGGAGTTGATTCCTATTTGCAATAGAGTATCCTCCACTACAACCTATACTAAGGTGTTCCATTGGTTAAATTAACCCCAATGTTAAAGGCTCAGGTCTCATTGTTGGCCTGAAATTGTAGTTTTGACTTTCAGCTATCAAATCTTTGTCTACTGGACTGAAAGACTGTTTTTCTACTTGCCTTTTCTCAACTATGTTCCTCAAGGAATCTATAATAACATTCAAATTGTAAAGCGACAATATTTTAACTCAACTAAAGTTATTCCGTGTTCTCGGGGTTGTTTTGGGAAAGCAGCTTCAGATCCACAACAGCATCTTGTTTTCCCATGCTTTTGAAGTGAGTAACTACAGCGCACCTAACAGTTGAGGCAACTGCCTTAGCGAACACCTTAACATCACCATTAGACCTCCTGCTGTCCAACGTATTCGTGTTTTCTATGTTTAGTTAAAAAAAGCAAAAAAGGCATTCGGCTCTTGTGCATGAGATCATAGCTTAAAAGATTAGCACAGATCGTGAGTAAAAGCTTTTAACTTCACTGTCCATTTTCTCAATAAAGTTGCCCAGGATGCAGTGGCTGAAGATTTGCAGCCCTTGATGAGGCTGTCACTGCCTTTAAGGACGTGTGTGTGTGTCAAGGAGGGTCCCCAGCCTCCCAGGGGAGCGCACGGGGCTCACGCGTCACCTCATGCTGAGGCGACAGGGAGGACGGGAGCTGTCCATGGCTACGGAGCGCTACAGAAACTCATTTATTGTGTCCGGGAGAGGGTGTCACGCTACGGGGATGAGCCAGGAGGGCGACAGGAACCTCGCAGCAAGCGGCCTCCCGTCGCTGTCACCCAAGGCGGCGGCGCTCGCTCCTCAGCGGGAACCCAGGCCCTGAAGGCAGCGGCCGG